ATCTGAATTGACCAGTTGTTGTAAGTTTCATTTCCATCTTCACGGCGTTATGGTCGGAGCAAGTCTTTGGGCAGATTTCCACTTTTTTAATCTTTGGGGCCAACCCACTAGTAATCCAAATTTGATCGATTCTGGTCCAGGTCATCATTGCTTCAGAGAAAAAGGTTCCCTCTCTCTCGAGAGGATTCCTTGTTCTCCAAATATCAATCAAGTCCATATTTTCAGTTATTTCAAAGAAAGTCTTTGGTAGTCTCCCATCTCTGGTGATTACCTGTCTTTGTGCTTTGTCCATATTTGTAGATACCACTCCATTCATGTCTCCCATCATGATCAATTTGTAATCCAAATAATCCAACAATATCTCATGCAACTTCTTAAAAAATTCTGACTTCCCTTCATTAGGTGCGTAAATCCCTAGTATCAAAAATTTTTCACCTTGAATTTGCACTTCAATTGCCAAATACCTTCCTTGTTCATCTTTAAATATAAACTTTGGGAAAGTTTTTCTTTGCATAGATTACCACTCCTCTTTTCTTAACTTTATCCGATGAAATAAATTCTTGGCCTAATCTCTTATTGACGAGTAGTTTTCTATGCAATCTTGTTATATGAGTTTCCTGTAAACAAATTAAGTCCAAATGCTCTTTTTTCAATAAATGAAATATATTTTTCCTCTTTCGTGGAAGGTTAAGTCCGTTACAATTCCAACTTAGAAGTTGCAGTGCCATCCTGAAACTATTTGCCTCCTGTTGCTCCGAGTAGTTGTTCTTCTTCTGTTGGTGATTTCAGTCCAAACATCAAGTTTAAAATGTCTGTTGCGTCTTTCGATTCTGGTGTTATTTCCTCTCCGACTGTTCCTTTCAGAAGGTCTTCCCTATAGTGATTTAAAAATTGATCTCGATCTTCTACTGATCTTATCCTTATTTTCCTACCTTTGAATTTAAAAGATAGGCCTTATGGGAATTCCCACCTGAAAGGTACTTCGCTCTTCTTCAGTAATCCGACCAGTTCTTTATAGTTTGTTCTTGCGTCTAGAATCTCCTTTGGAATATCTTTAAAGATCTCCACAAAAGAGTCTTCAATCTCGAGTGTTCTTTGAAAGTGCAGACTCAATATTTTATCTCTCTCCTCTCTTGATCCTAATGTTATTAGGCAATCCCTTGGCTTCTTCCTGCCTTGTGCTCTTCCCAGTCTAAAGGCCGTGACTATTTTAATTTCTTCTTTCTCTAACTCCTGTTGCCAAAAATCCGCAAATTCTTTAGAAAGGAAGTTCACCAAGTTATCTCCTTCACTTTCAGGCACCGCTCGTAGTCTTAAATTTCTGTCTCTTCTCTGCAATTCAAGCATAGACAGGGCCAATGTGTGATCCTCTAACTTTTTGCAAACTGGTACAATTTTTTCCTGTGTAGCATCCGCCGAGACTTTAGCCTCATCAGCAGAGACTTTGGCTTCTTCTGCGATTTTACGTATATTAGCAGAGTCCTCTAATATTTTATTAATAGATTCTGTATTAGATGTCACCCTTTTCCCTAATTCATTCACACTTTGTGTATTCTGATCAAGTTTAATTGAAAGTTCTGTCAATTTTCTGCTATTTTCCACCCCCTGCTTTGTCAAAGATTCCAAAGACTCATTTATTTTAACCAAAGCTTGTGTTACAGGATCTGATGACATTATTGTTCTTGTCTGACCAGTTGCAGCTGGTGCCACTGGGATGCCTGGGACTGAAACTCTTCGCTGTGAAGATTTTACTTTGTATTGTCTCCCAGACCTGGTTGTTGTCTCTTCTGGTGCACCACTCATGCCTAGCCAAGGTCACTCTCACAGCTGTTAGTTGTTTTTCAAAGGAAATTTCCACTGCCTTAGTAGTTACAATCCAATTTGCAACAATTCTCAAAATGCCCTCTAGGGGAAGAAAGTTTCCAAAACTAAACAAAATGTCTTACAGCCAAAAATTCCCCTGAGGTTTCCCAGTAGTCAATTGTAACAGTTCTTATATTTTCAGAGTTCAACAAACCTGTAATTTAGTATCTCTCTAGAGCTGAGTAGTTTAAAACAATGTAGCAATTCAAGTGACAGTTCACTGACAGTTCTCTCTCCAGGTTCCTTTACCCCGGCAGTCCGTTTCAGGGGTGTTTGACACAGTGGTGAAAAGTTTTTAAAGTCCTTTTCTGGCAGGTTCTAATCACAGTTTCCTCCCCCCTTTTGCTCCTGCCTACCAAAAGGGGGGAAGTTCACAGTTTATGTCTGGTTCTCTTAACTCTTTGCGATCTCTCTATGGTTACAGCTTTTAGTCCTTCTTTGCTTTATCCTTATGCAGTCCGGGAAAGGCTGACTTCCTTACTTTAAACCAATCCTGTTTTCAGCCAAATTTCAAAAGATAGTTGTAAATCCCAATTAGGTCTCAGTCTTACTCACGAGTTTTGCTTTGTAATCCAATTTTCAGGAAGGAATCGGCGCTCTCCGGCTATGGCGATGCGGCTTCGCTCACAAGCTGGGTAGCGGCCTCAGCACCGCTTCTCCCGCCAGCTGCTCCGGAGCCTTTAAAAAGGCTCCCTTGCGATTCGGGGGCGCGATGGTGCCCACCGAGCCTCCTTGTTCACAGGCTTCCGCGCCTGTAATTTTTAAGGGTCCCCGCTTCGCCGTAGCGGCAGGACCCGAACTTGTAAAGCAGACCCCCTCCGGAGCTCGGAGGGAAATCCGCCATTAGCCGATGGCGCCGACCGGAAGTGTCCAATTCAATAAATTAATTCAGCAAATCCTTTCCCTCTTTGTTTTTATCTTAGACCTTTGTCTCAATATATAATAATTGTATATTCTCATCTGTTAACAGTCCATTTTTACATACTCCTTGTAGCATTACTACTAAAAACCCCTTAGCTTCATTCCAACATCTTCCTAACATTCATTAATTTTACAGTATTTCTGTAGATAATCTTTAAATTTCTTCCAAGCTTCTTCCACCGGCTCTTCTCCCTGGTCTTGGATTCTGCCAGTCATTTCCGCCAGTTCCATATAGTTCATCACCTTCATCTGCCATTCTTCCAGGGTGGGTAGATCTTGTGTCTTCCAATACTTTGCTATAAGAATTCTTGCTGCTGTTGTGGCATACATAAAAAAAGTTCTATCCTTCTTTGGCACCAATTGGCTGACTATGTCCCTGCTCCTGTTTTCATTGGAATTCTCTGGCATCCCTGTGTGTTCTCCCTGGCTATATGACTCGCCTGCCTTTTGCTGCAAAAAAAGAGATTGGAAAAAATGTAACGCTCACAAGCAATAGACCTAATCCAAGACATTTGTATCATCAGAAAACTTTTTAAAATGGACACAGCAATTGAAGGGAGATTTTCCAATTTCGAAAAGGCACATGTAATAATTAAACCTAGTAAGAATAAAACTGTAAAGCCAAACAGAAAACAATAAAGGTGAGTATGGTTGTTTCTGGGTTGTTATTCCAGCTCTCCTCCTTGAAACCTGTGAGGTACAAATTTCGCCTCACAACAGCTAACAGATACCCTGCATTGAGCAAGCCAAGGGTGTGAAAACTCCAAATCAGCCTTCAATTGGGGGAGGAGGGATGTGTAATGGCAGCCAGGGGTGGAAGTCTAAAAACAGGACAGGGTAAATGTGGGGAGAGACAGGATTTAGTCTAGACAAACAACGCTGTCTCCATCTTCTGCTTTAATAATCATCAGGTTGGGAGGGAGAGGTTTCCAGAGGCAGCCAGGAACATATTGTTACTTGCAGAACATAAGCTACATTGATATGTACATAGAGTTGTAAGGCACCTCAAGGGTCATCCAGTCCACCCCCTGCAATGCAGGAATCTCAGCTAAAGCATCCGTGACAGATAGCCATCCAACCTCTGCTTAAAAACCTCCAGGGGAGGAGAGTCCACCACCTCCTGAGGGAGACATATTCAACTGTAGCAGCCCATGAACATACCCCTGCTAGCAGGTGTTGGAGGAAACTCTTGAGAGTCCCGTAGACTGCAAGAAGATCAAACCTCTCCATTCTGAAGGAAATCAGCCCTGAGTGCTCACTGGAAGGACAGGTCCTGAAGCTGAGGCTCCAATACTCATGAGAAGAGAAGACTCCCTGGAAAAGACCCTGATGTTGGGAAAGATGGAGGGCACAAGAAGAAGGGGATGACAGCGGACGAGATGGTTGGACAGTGTTCTCGAAGCTACCAACATGAGTTTGACCAAGCTGCGGGAGGCAGTGGAAGACAGGAGTGCCTGGTGTGCTCTGGTCCATGGGGTCACGGAGAGTCGGACACGACTAAATGACTAAACTACAACAATTATACACACATTCAAGAGTGATAAAGAAATATACACTTGCAAGTCAAAGGCATGAGTTGAGGTAGGCAAGGGCATTTTTGCACTCATGACCTTGGTGTGAATTAAAATAATTAAATGTACCCCTTAAGGAATCCAGCCCCGTCTCCAAAATTGGAGGAATGGGAGACTGGCGATACCCGTGCAGAGATGTTATTACTGGCCCTCTTCACGTTTTAAAAAATATCTGTATTGAATTAAGCTCTGAATATAATCGAGCGAGGCTAATGTAGCCTTCTGCTGCAACCCATTAGGAAGCTGTCTTTCAATTGTGTGAAGCCGTTCCTCTAGAAGAATCAGCCCCCTCAGGTACCTTACAGAGATGGTGTCGTGTGCAGTGCAATAATAGCGGTGTAGGGATCACTGCACTTGCAGATGAAATATAGCTCCCTCTGGGTGGGAAGCCAGCACACTTTATGACAGCCAGGCGCACTACACAATATATGAGGATTGAAAGTGGTGGGTAACTTTATCCACTTGTAGCCAGAGTGGAATAAGGAAAGGTCACCATAGACTTTATTGTGCTGTAACTCACCTGCCAAGACTAATGCTTCGAGGAGAGAGGGGGAATCATTAATAGCAACTATCTTTCCCACCCCCCTCTCTCTCCTCCAGAAATAGCCACTGTCAAAGCTACTGATCTTATTGCCAGAGGTTAGGAAGGAAGGCAGGCAGGCAAAACTCCACTCTCAGTTTACTTTTAAAGGTATGCAAAGACCATTTGCACCTCCTCGACCCATCTTTTAAGGGATGCCCTGGGTAGCAGGGCTCTTCTGCTAGAGATGTGCAACTGAAGGAGCTGCCTGGCAAATCCAGAGGTGAGTAGAGGTGAGAAATAGGCCGCCTTTCCACCAGATAAACATGAAGAAGGAGGAAGGGATTGAGGAAAGGTCACATTTAAAGGGAAAGGGAACTAATTCACTCTTTCTTTCTTTCTTTCTTTCTTTCTTTCTTTCTTTCTTTCTTTCCTTTTTAAATCAGTTTTTATTGATTTTCATACATATATCATACATAATTCAACTTAACCAAACAATTGTTTTATAAATTCCCCTCTCCCCCTTAGCTTCCCTCCATTTCTGTTTCTGGTTTGTTAAACCACTTGTTGCATTCTGCTGCTTATATATAGTAGTAAATTATCACATTGTTATCTTTCTTGTTCTCTCTAATTACATTATATATGTTTATTTAAACCCTGCCAAAGGGTTTCACTTTCTGAAACAATCCACAAAGCCAAAGACAGACATCTTTCAAAATTCGCGCTTCTCCAAATTTTGCAATGTAGTGAAAAGTTTGCAAAATTCATATCCCTGAGTAAAGCCTTCATTAAAAACACATGTAGTCATTAAAATAGCACAAAGGGGCATTATTTGCTGGAAAATATATATCTAGGAAGCATAACTGCAGGCAAAAATATTAGGAGAAATTTGCAATGAAAAGCTGATGAATTTTGTGAGGGGTTTTTTTTAAAAAAGCAACAACAAACTGATGTGGAAATGTGGAAAACTGAACTGAAAACCTGGAAGAATGAGAACCCGAGAGAAACCACAACTTTCAGATTTGCCCATTAGTCAAATGTGGAGGGAAAGGGAAGACATTTTCCTACTTCCTGTCTAATAATAAAACCCAACTTCCACACCAGTGGTTCTCATCACAGCTTCACACTGATTCTGCAGTATATCATTCCATCTGGGATCACTGAGGGGAAAGTTGGTTGCAACTCTTTCGCCCATAATCCTTGGGAGTTGTAGTTCAACTCACGAGATTCCAGGCAGAAATAGATCCTGAAGCACCGAGCTGCTGGCAGAGTCTTCTTTCGTGTTCAAAGGAACATGAGAAAGGAATAGCAGTCTGGGAGAATCTCTCCAGTCACAAAGGAGCTACCACCTGATGCCTTGGTCTCAGCTCTAGGATAGGCTAATAGAGTTTGTGAGATAGAATCAGGCCCTTTTGAGCCACTTGAACAAGTTTTGGGCGTAGCAGTCTGTGACTCACCCATTCCTAATTGTTTCCATTTCAGGGCCTGGAGCACGTTTTAAGAAAAAATTACAGTGGTACCTCGGGTTAAGAACTTAATTCGTTCAGGAGGTCCATTCTTAACCTGAAACTGTTCTTAACCTGAGGTACCACTTTAGCTAATGGGGCCTCCCGCTGCTGCCACACCGCCGCCGTTCTCATTTCTGTTCTCATCCTGAAGAAAAGTTCTTAACCTGAGGTACTATTTCTGGGTTAGCGGAGTCTGTAACCTGAAGCGTCTGTAACCTGAGGTACCACTGTAGACTTCCCAGACCCAACTCAATCAAAGGCTAGCAGACAGGAAAGATCTTTATTTGCCTGCTCTCTGTCCCCCGCTTATCTGGTTGTGAGCTATGCGGCTTGCAGTCCAGCAAACACACTCTCACACAGCTTCCTTCCTCGCCCCCCGCACCCCAACACACTTTTTTGCAAAGGAAAATATGCAGTTTTTACATGTAATGGAGAATGGGGACAGAGTTGGAGGGTCCTCTCAGTTTGATGGTGATGGGGGGTAAGCCCTGGCCAGATGATTTTCTTTCCTCTTTTCTTTTTTGCAAGGATTCTGAGCAAGCGAGGGATGGGGTTCTTTCCTGTGCCTCCCCCTCCCCCTCCCCCTCCCCCTCCAGTGGCTGGCAAAGAAGAGGAGGAGGAGGAGGAGGAGGAGGAGGAGGAGGAGGAGGAGGAGTTTGGATTTGATATCCCACTTTATCACTACCCGAAGGAGTCTCAAAGCAGCTAACATTCTCCTTTTCCCTTCCTCCCCCACAACAAACACTCTGTGAGGTGAGTGGGGCTGAGAGACTTCAGAGAAGTGTGACTAGCCCAACGTCACCCAGCAGCTGCATGTGGAGGAGCGGAGAGGCGAACCCGTTTCCCCATATTACGAGACTACCGCTCTTAACAACTATACCCCGCCCTCCCCGGCCAGAGCTAGGCTCAGGGCGGCTAAAATCAGTAAAATTACAGTAAAAAAACATAATAGTGGGGGGGGGCAATTTAAAATACAGGTTAAGATGCAATTTAAACAAGCAGCCTCATTTTAAAAGTAGCCCATAAATCTAAATCAAAACTATAAGGGGAGGGAAACATAAGGGTCAGACTGAGTCCAAACCAAAGGCCAGGCGGAACAGCTCTGTCTTGCAGGCCATGTGGAAAGATGTCAAGTCCCGCAGGGCCCTAGTCTCTTGTGACAGAGCATTCCACCAAGTCGGGGTCAGTACTGAAAAGGCCCTGGCCCTAGTTGAGACCAATCTAACCACCTTGCAACCTGGGACCTCCAAAATGTTGTCATTTGTGGACCTTAAGGTCCTCCACGGCGCATACCAGGAGAGGTGGTCCCATAGGTATGTGGGTCCTAGGCCGCAGAGGGCTTTGAAGGTCAAAAACCAGCTCCAGGCTGTTCTCCCTGCAGAAAGAGCTCTGTGAATCAAAACCACCAGCTGCCCTCCTCATCCTCCTTGAGGGGAAGCGAGGGTGAAGGGAAAAGACATGGCTCCTTCAACCCTCGTAGTGCTGCATCCAGACAATGCTCCTTCGTGAAGAGGAGACACATGAAGAGGAGCTGGGTCTCCCACTGTCTTCTTCCTTCCCCTTTCCGCCAAAAGGGAGGGAGACCACCATCAGCCATCCACCACTGGAGAGAGTGGCGCACAGGAGGGTCTACTGACGTAAACAGCTTTGCAGAGCCCACGATCCTCCCTGCGTCCTTCCACCAGCTCGGAAGGAGGTTGAGCCCTACAGCTCTCAGTCCCTTTCCCTTTTTCAAAGATCTGCTTGGTGAATTGGAAGAGCACATGTTGCCAAACCACCAGTGGGGACAAAAACAGAAAACAAAAAAAGCCAGACATTTTAGTAGGGTTGCCAAAGTGAAAATAATAATAACAATAATTTATTATTTATACCCCACCCATCTGGCTGGGCCTCCCCAGCTACTCTGGGCGGCTCCCAACAGAATATTAAAAATACAATAAAACATCAGACATTAAAAACTTCCCTAAACAGGGCTGCCTTCAGATGTCTTCTAAAAGTCAGATAGTTGCTTATTTCCTTTACATCTGATGGCAGGGCGTTCCACAGGGTGGGTGCCTCTACTAAGAAGGCCCTCTGCCTGGTTCCCTGTAACCTTGCTTCTCACAGTGAGGGAACCACCAGAAGGCCCTTGGAGCTGGACCTCAGTGTCCGGGCTGAACAGTGGTGGAGGAGACACCCCTTCAGGTATACTGGGCCAAGGCTATTTAGGACTTTAAAGGTCAACACCAACACTTTGAATTGTGCTCAGAAACATACTGGGAGCCAATGTACGTCTTTCAGGATCAGTGTCTGGCCTTGGCGGCCACTCCCAGTTAAGTTGCTGAGCTATTTTCTTTTCTTTTCTTTTTGCAAAATTCTCCCAAAATTTGAGGCTTGGGAACTTTCTGAAAGGAAATGCACTAAAAAAATACCGTAAACACTTCCGGGAAAGGCTGCCATACATTTGGGTTTTACTGGACATTTTAGCCCTTTCCAGAAATCCCTCCAGGACACTATTTGCGACGGACACTATTTGCGACAGACAAATCTGTACATGTCCCGGGAAACCCAGATGTATGGCAGCCCTATCATCATCATTGTGATTAGAGATAGAGATGAATGAGGCTATAAGCCCATCCACCTTATACACCAAGGAGAAATATCTTGCCAGAGACAACACTGCAAATCTCTGTAAAAGGGCTAGATCAGCCCTCAAAGAAAGCTTGTGCCAGATGTTTATGGGGAATAAGCAGAATTCCTATTGCTCTCTAATCATTATCCCATTGGCTTTATTTTTTCAACATAGAAACATAGATTTGGAATTGCTCATATACTTTGTGTGAGGACAAGAAATGGGATGGCACAGCCGTCAGCCTTTTGCTGAATCATATATAGGTTATTTTCACTGCTGCCACACCCCCCCCCCCAAAAAGCTACAGTGCAATGAACTATAAAAAGCAGGTTCTCTTCAGGGTGGGTGGGGGGATATATATAAAAGCAATGAAGCACAGCCCCATAAGGCAGTGGGGGAGGGAGAGAGAGAGTGAAATTCAAGCTCTTGCTCAATAAACAAAGCAGAGACGTGGACGCCTGCTTTGTGGTGCCTGTTTGGGTCCTTAGCTCCAGAGAGTTGGAAAGTGGAGTTGTTCCTAGAATGGGGCTCTGAAACTCATCACCTTCCAAGTTGAATCAGGACAGCTGGTTTGTAAGCTGCTGCCAATTCCACTGGCTCCTCAACTGGGCAATAGAGCTGTGACAAGAGAGAACTCAGAGTCCCAGGCTGACATACTTATGCACCAAACTGCCTTTGTTCTCCCGACTCTGGTGTGATATTTAATTCATAAATGTTTGCTTTGAACATTGCCCTGGATTGTAGATGCTATATGTTCTCCGTGAACATTTAGCATGTTTCCACTAGGTGGTAGCAGTAAACCACTCTAGAATGAACGGGAGATAGCAGAGGTGATTCCCATTCTGTTTTAAGGTGTCCAAGTACATATACAAGTTACTGCCTTGAAATAATAATAATAATAATAATAATAATACCCTGCCCATCAGACTGGGTTTCCCCAGCCACTCTGGGCAGCTTCCAGCACATATAAAAACATAATAAAACATCAAACATTGAAATGTAGTTTGAGAACAGCAACTGCTGTAGTTTCCCCAACACTCCAGAATGAAGTGGTGAGACACCATTTGGATTTAAGAAAGGACCACAACTATCAGCATGTTTAGGTAGTTGTCTGAACACACACATGCTGTATCTGTACCTGTGCACTTGTGCTTCCTGTACAAATGTGCTACCTTCTTCAGTAAATGCAAGCCGGCAACCTGCCAGCTTTCCCTTGGAAAATACTGATTTTGTGCAATTGCGCCAGTATTCCATACATCTCCAACATAGATGATCATCAAATCATAGAGTTGAAAGGGGCCACGAAAGTCATCTAGACCCTACAACACAGGAATCTTTTGCCCAACATGGGGCTCAAACCCACAACCCTGAGATGGTCTCATGCCCTCCTGACCGCTGTGATAGGGTCGCCATATTTCAAAAGTGAAAACCCAGACACAAAAGTTGTTGAGCTTTTCTGGGCAAACTTTTGGAGCTCCCCCCCCCCCATATATATATATATATATATATATATATATATATATATATATCCCCCAAAAGTAAAGTTTTTGGAAATTCGCCAGAAAATCAGCACTTCCAATATGCACTGCCATACACCCAGGTTTTCCCAAACATTTTTACCGATTTCAAAAAATCTGGCTCAGACACCAGGAAATTCCGGAACATATAGCAGCCCTAAGACGCAGCAAAATTGACTGGTTCTGGGGTCCTGAAACAGCCTGATGGTCTTTGAAAAAGATTATGTAATGAATGAGTGCATTTATGCAATAGACCCACGTCTCTGTGCTGTATTTTGATGGAGGAGGGGAACCGACTCTGGTCATTAACGAGAAGGCCAGGGCATCAACTGGAAATATGAATAGTATGGTTTGTGTCAGGATCGCTTCCTGGTTTCATAACTTGATTGAGAGAGATCCTTCAAGCCAGCGTTTCTGGTGGCATGGGAAACTGTGGTTTAAAAAACTAATATACCTTTGCTGAAGCTTGGTGCGCAAGAGAAAGAAGGAAAGGATTGGGGGAGGAAGGAGCCTGCAGGCACACCACTCATCAGACCAGGCAAGTGTGTTAAATGTTGTGCTGACAGCCCTGCTCAGAGAGAGTTGCTTATATTTGTCACACACTGCAACTTAGATCCCATTGATTGATCAGATTCCATCAAAGAAATAAAGGTGTCTATCTGTGTTTGCTCATACCATAGCATGCCAAATGCAAATTGACTGAACAATCAGTCATATAGATTTGACAGCATGTTCTACAAATGTTCTCTGCTTACTCATTTCACCACGGTAAATCAGAGGAAAGGGCTAGCTTGAAGCTATGGCTTCAAAGCCTGATATCCTTTCAAGGTGAGCACTGCATAGGTGTTATTGATGAATTGGGAATCAGGGACTAATTGTTCTCTAGCATGCATTGTGCTGATGGCACGGATGGGGTGGGGAGGAGGAAAAACCATCATTTAGCTTCTGCTCACCTCTAATTGTGCTGCCAGGTGTGTAAGCATCTTCTGTTGAAAAGGGTCAGCCAAGTAACTATCCCCGCTGAACATGCATAAAAAGAAGCTGAGAATCTTTAATGCAGATATTAATCCTAGGTACTTTTTGCAGAGAGGCTGAGATTGCTCTTGTGTGCTGCCTCTGGCTCCTTGATATGCTGCCAACTCCAGCAAGCCAACCCATCTATTATCCTGCATTTTGCCTTGGACACAAAACCACACAGTGATTTCATCTCTTTGCATGGGTTCGACCTCTGCTTCGACAGCGGAAGCGAGTGGAGTGTCAGGTTAACACACACCACCCCTGTGTGTCGTGTGAACTGAAGCAAGGGATGAAACAGCAGGAGAACAGGAAAACGGCTTCTGCGGATCAAGAGTATTTCAGCTTTATGGATTCAAGTAAAACAAAAGCAAAGGAAACAGTAAATGAGCACTTTATTGAACCGCCAAGGAACTGATAAGGTTCTTTATTGAGTCGTCTGCCGTTCGACAAGACAGCTCTTCCCAGGCTGAGAGGAAAACTGGTGGCAACAGGTTACAGTGGTACCTGGTTGTCAAACTTAATCTGTTCCAGGAGTCCGTTCAACTCCCAAAACCATTTGAAAACCAAGGCGCAGCTTCCGATTGGCTGCAGGAGCTTCCTGAACTCAATCGAAAGCTTTGGAAGCTGCGTCGGATGTGCAGCTTCCAAAAAATGTTCACAAACCAGAACACTCACTTCTGGGTTTGCGGCGTTCAGGAGCTGATTTGTTCGGGAGCCAAGCCGTTCAAGAACCAAGGTACCACTGTATTTACTGGGACAGAGCGACTTTTGCAGCTGTTCTTAAAAGTTGCAAAACAATGAAGCACAGGACGAAGTGACAGAGAAATTTCTGTAGGTCTCCCTACATCTGAAAGTTTAATAAAGTTGTGGCCAATTTTAATCCCATAACACGTTGTCATGAGCCATTATTCCTCATGGGGGTCACCTGGGGTCTCCGCCTGGCCATGCAATAGCAGCCCACCCTATGAAAACCAAGAAAGGAGGAAAGCAGAGTGTATCCAGCCAAATTTGATGGGCACCAAGTTTAACAGTAAGAATGGGCATATGCAATTAAAGCTTCTCAGAACACACACACAAAATCTCTCTAGCTTGCATAGTATTTTTTGTGCTGAAGCACATAATTATTTTGAGGAGCACAAGCTTTTTAAAAGTTTGCTTGCACTGCTGCACTGAAATGTTTTACCATTTGTGTAACATGGAAGCATTTAAAACAAAAGCAAAATCACAACCCTGGAATTTAGGGTGAAACCTGCAGATCCACCACAGCAAAAATGTGCTCCCAAAATCAGGAGCAGAGAGACTTAGCAGAATCTTCAACTAATCTTTTATTACCTTCTTTCAGAGTATTCCCCCATTGCTCAGACAAGCGAAAAGTGGCAGAACCCGATTCTCTGAGACAAATGAAGTATACAAACACGTTCAAGAGTAACTCCTGATTCAGACTTAAGACAACAAATCCAGTGAAATCAGCAGCAGGACTAAACAAAGGGACTGAGCATGAGAAAACACGAGAAACCTGATTAAGTGAAGATATGTTCATTACCAGAACTATAGCAAGAGCGATTGAAGGCCGTATAGATCTTCTGGCTCTGGGGCAGGAAACAAAATTCTCAATGGAATGGCTCTGATGATAATCTAAATTAGGAAATCTTTAAAATTGATCTATCACTAGTGTAGCTTCTTTAGCCCTTAATATGCTCAATACCTTTCAGTTAAGTAAGCCGGTCCTGCTTTATTCTGTCTCTCTCTTTGTCTGTTTTGTGTGTGTGTGTGGTGTGTGTGTGGCTGAACATAAACAGATCAGGATAAAACTATACGGTAAATCAGTCGAAGTTGTGAAATGTTGATACAAAAAAACAGGGATTAAATATACATTTTCTCTGGGAAATAAGTTTTAAGTGCTTATACTTCCCATCACAACACGAAACATACTTTTAAAGCACATTAGACAAACATTACATCAGCAGGTCTATCCCACCACAAAATATTTCTAAGCCTGTTTTTATCTATGTATATGTCTGGCATATTCAGGTTCTTTTATTAGGTACTGCGCTACAAACAAGCGGACCGACTTCTGCAGTCAACTCCTTTGTGTCAAGCCTGAGAAATTGAAATCCATTCTTATGCCTGGAAATTACTTCTGTTATTATCTAATTTCCGCCTTTCATGCCATACAAGCCTAGGCTTGAGGATGACGTTATCCGCTGTGCATAAACAATCTCAAGTGGGAATGCAATTTGGGGACATCTTAATCCTTCGTTATATATGTTTTTAGATCCTTCTACATTTCGAAAAAGCCAGGGCTTTGGAAACAATCACAGTAGGGAAAGGAGAACACAGTGTGCAATTAAGAAGTCAAGCGGCTGGATTGCAAACAAGGTGAAGAAAGACGAGAGCCCTTTTGGGGTGCTGTGATGTGGGCAGAGTGAATATGCACAGGATGCAGGCTCTACCCATGACCTAGGCATATACATGGGATGTGGGTGGCGCTGGGGTCTAAACCACTCAGCCTCTTGTGCTTGCCAGTCAGAAGGTTGGCGGTTCAAATCCTCACGACGGGGTAAGCTCTCATTGCTCTATCCAAGCTCCTGCCAAGTGAGCAGGTCGAAAGCACACCAGTGCAAGTAGATAAATAGGTACAGCTGTGGTAGGAAGGTAAACGGTGTTTCTGTGTGCTCTGGTTTCCATCACAGTGTTCCGTTGTGCCAGAAGCGGTTTAGTCATGTTGGCCACATGCCCTGGAAAGCTGTCTGTGGACAAACGCCAGCTCCCTTGACCTGAAAGCCAGATGAGTGCCGCACTCCACAGTAACCTTTGACTGGACTTAACTGCCCAGGGGTCCTTTACCTTTTTCCTTACCTAGGCATATATATCTATATATATAGATAGATAGATAGATATAGATATACACACATATGAATATATATGTATTCTGCTCCTCTTGGATTACACAAATTCTGGGGCCACAGGTGCCAATTTGCACCCAACATTAGTGTCACGCATGTGATGCGCATTGTGTGTGCATGACATTATGCGTGTGACATCTGTCACTTTTGGAGAGGCTGACCAGGCCTCCTCACGATATGTCTGTGTGGCGTCTCCAGATGCTGCGCGACATGGGGCGACATTCCGCCAGGTCTCCTCTGCCCCCGTCAAGATGTTGTGGGGGGGCTGAGTCCCATCCCAGTGGACATTGGGGGCAGCTGTAGAGACCTCAGCTCCATAGAGTTGGCATGCCTGTCTGGGGCAGGGAATGAAAGGCACCCCAAATTCCTATGGCAGTCAGGAAACGATGCTGCAGGATTGAACTGGAAGGTGCACGAAGGGAATCTCACTGATGTTGGTCCTTTCTGTTGGGGCTGGGCCCGCTCTCACTCCCTCAGAGTGTGGATTTAGGGCAGAGGAACCGGGTGCAGAGCCTAAGGGGTGCCACAGTGCACTGCAATTATGACATTGGGAATTGAGCAGAAGAGAAGGCAAGATGGGGGGGGGGGAGGACCACCAAATTTTGACCTTGCACAGGGTGCCGCTGAAATTTGAAAGACCAAAGTCCACCCAAGCTCTATTAGGGAAGGGCTATACAGTGGTACCTCGGGTTACATACGTTTCAGGTTACAGACTCCGCTAACCTAGAAATAGTACCTCGGGTTAAAAACTTTGCTTCAGGATGAGAACAGAAATCATGCAGCGGCGGTGCAGTGGCAGCAGGAGGCCTCATTAGCTAAAGTGGTGCTTCAGGTTAAGAACAGTTTCAGGTTAAGAACGGACATCCGGAACGAATTAAATACTTAACCTGAGGTACCACTGTAGCTCAGTAGTATAGCATTTTCCTTGTCCAAGCCCCAGCATCTCCAGGTTGGACTGGGAATGACTCCCATCTGAAAATCTGGAGAGTTGCTGCCAGTCAGTGTAGACAATATGGAGGGCTGATGGTCTGACTCAATAGAAGGCAGCTTCCCATGCCCCTTGGTTCTCCCTACAGGGTTTCGCTTCTCCCATGTAAGTTTATGCAAGAAGAAACCTGCAGAAGGGAGATGGAATGGGGATTAAGAGGCTCAGCCCCCCCCCAAAAAAACCCACTAATTCAGGGTTTTCCAAACTTGGGTGTCCATCTGTTTTTGGACTACAACTCCCATCATCCCTGGCCACTGGTCCTGCTAGCTAGGAATGATGGGTGTTGTAGTCCCAAAACAGCCGGAGACCCAGTTTGAGAAACCCTTCTCTAATTTCACACTTGCCAAGGGTTTTCTCCTACTTCAGTAGCAGCAAACGGAGCTGTTTGGATTGGAGTGGGGGAAATGACTGAACCAAGCACCGGCATGCACACTCAGAGGTCTCCGGCGGGTCACTGTGATCAGTGCGCATCAGTGCACAGAGTCCCCTGCTGTGATGCAATGTTGCCCAATGCCCACAGGCATGTTCCTTCAGCACAGCTGCGAGTACCCAGAAAGCAAATCAAAATATATCCCATTTCAAATTCTTACGGCTTAGCTAAGACCAGGATCCAGGGAAGTTATATCCATGTGCAAGCAAAAGGTGTACCTGTGGCTTGGATTTTCTGTATTGGTTTCGGTCCAGCTACCAAAGATACAAGCTGCTGTTTTTATTCTGAAGGAGACTGCCTCGTCTCTTTGGAAGCCAGCACAAAGCTCCTGTACAGAATATGCTATCACCATTTCTTTGCAAAGTTGCAGAGAAAGGCATAATTGTTCAGAAACGCAATCCACTGAGAAAGTAAGTGGGGGGCGGGGTCCAATCCGCATAACCAGTCAGCACAGAAGCACATAACCAGTCAGCACAGAAACTGATGCTTTTTTTTGTGCCAGGACAAAAAAATATTTGTCATGTGCACAGATCCATGTTCCCAGATTCAGCTACTGAGACTTGTGAATGTAGCTTTGTTAGAAAAATCTTGCGAGCGTCAATCAGCTCTTTAGAAAGAGAAGCGAGGTGGGGGTGGGGGCTAGAATTAGATCTCCCTCTGCCACCCCCATGTGATTGCTGATTGTCAGGGCTATGTGTGCATAGTCCAGGCTGCAGCATGAACATGCAGTTGACTCAGGCTGGAAGAGTTCACCTGGAAAATGTATCTCAGAGAAGGGACTGTATATATCACAAGAGCTGTGCTGAAAATTTCATAGAATCATAGAACTGGGTCACCTAGCTCAACCCGCTGCGATGGAGGAATCAGAGGTAAAATTTCCAAAATTCATTTTTCAACCATTTGTCGAATGAAATCCTCCTGAAAGATAGGGCAGGCAGGATTCTTTGGCATTTTCTTTGAAAAAGCAAAGGTGGACAAGAAAATCACCTTGGCTACCTCATAAAGTTAAGTAAGGGCAGTGGCAACATTCTCCCCAAAATGCTAAACCACCTCTCCTGGTATGTCCCATGGAGGACCTTACGGTCTTCAAACAAAAACATCTTGGAGGTCCCAGGCCACAGGGAGGTTAGGCTGACCTCAACCAGAGCCAGGGCTTTTTCATCTGTGGCTCCGATCTGGTGGAACGCTCTGTCACAAGAGACTAGGGCCCTGCGGGACTTGACATCTTTCCACACGGCCTGCAAGACAGAGCTGTTCCACCAGGCCTTTGGCCAAGGCACAGCCTTTTGTAATCCTCACAGAACTCTAGCCCAATGGTTGCCATTAATTTGATTTTGAATTGATTTTAAAATGAATTGATTTTAGAATGCTGTGTTACTTTTATTGTTGTTAACCGCTCTGAGCCCGGCTTTGGCTGGGGAGGGCGGGATATAAATATATTATTATTATTATTATTATTATTATTATTATTTCAAAGAAAGCCCTAGGGCACTCTCTGTGGGGCAGCCGATCACAGTGCTCCCAAGGCATTCCCAGTGAGAAGCT